CTGTTTAATTCCTTCCAAACCAGGTTCTGCCAGGCTAGCCAGGAAAGAATTAAACCAGCAGTATTGATACAGACAAATACCTGTGGAGGACCTAGTACCTAAAGTTTTAAACCCGGAGGAATTAATTTCAAACTCCTCTTTCTACGCCTTTTCATTGGCAGGCGATGGGGGTGATAACAATGGATGATGAAGCCGAGGAGTGGGAACAGAGTGTGAGGATCTCAGTTTGATCTCCACCGTTACTTCATGTGCGAACACTACTTTCCTCTAGAGTCCTGTGATCTGCAGCCCCTCGGCCCCCCGTGGGGCAGTCACGCGCCCGTGGGGCAGTTACCGCGCCCGGGGGTCTAGACTTCGACGGTTTCGTGCGTCACTTGGGGATGTCCAAGGTGCACTACCATGACAAGATGATCCAGGGAGCCTTCAGCGCGATGTGGAGCACCTATCCGCGTGGCCTCCTAGGGTGTTTGTCCACATTCCCCGGCTTGGGAATAGAGGTGTCCGCAGCGGACAGCAGGAGGCTTATGCCATAGCTTGCTGAGATTAGTTGAATGATGAAAAACGAGTAGGCAGCCTTCGGGAAGCCATGAGGTGTCCATAGCGGACATGAGTAGCCCGCCATTTTGGCTTGGATGGTTGCCGGAGAATGTATCGCAGGGATTTCTTCGTCCAGAAGCTTGTTGGGATGGTTCACTACAGGGTGATGTATCGATAAAAGCAGTATCACCTGTTGATACTCTTCTTCAAGCACATCCACGACATCCGTGAAATCCATCTTAATGCCTCCAGGACTACGAAAGCCGTCCGAGTCTGAGGCGAATTCCCCAGGAAGATCCCTGGGCAGACAACGTGCCCAAAGTGGACTGTGAAGTCGTTTGCCCAGGCAGTGCAGTCCGTTGACCTGCGAGGTTTGGATGGGTAAGGAGCCGGGTTCAAACACCCCCAACACATTTCGTTTACCTTCATGCTGCTGTTTCGTCCTGGGTAGAAGCTACATCTTTAGGCCTCTAGACCCCTAGACCTCACACTCTAGAGCCACTATATATTTCTTAATCTCATCGAATGGATCTCAAGACCTCTCGACCTCCTCCTGCGAAGGTGTCGTGAAGCTCTGAAGGCATTCATTTGCAACACGTTCGCTGCTTAAACAAGAGCCAAGAGCCACCCAACAAGATCCAACAAACCACTCGCCCCGTCCTTCCTCTCGCCGTCCTACGCTACCGGGGTGTCTTCCTCTCGGCCTGCCAGGTCAAGGAGTGGTGATGACCTCCTCCGGACTGGCCTTGAGGGGTGAGCCGGTCGAGGGCCTCTGAAGCACTGCGTGCGCTGGCGCGCGTGGGGGGGCATGGCCCACGCGTTTGGGGGCGAACTATGGGGCACCCTGTGGCGTGGAGAGGGGGAATTAGGGGGGATGGCAGGCAGAATGGCCGAAGCGAAAGTCCCGGGCACATTGCAGGGGGTGGTTTTGCCATGTTTCGCCAACTGGATTTATCTCCTCTAGCCACTTCGCTGCTCCAATGATCCAGATGATCTTCTGGATTGGGAGCAGCTTGACCTCCAAAGGCATCCCACATAGGCTAGCCGGATCTCCAGCCGATGATAGCCCAAGCGAGATCTCGTCTTCCGAGCGCACGCCGCGTGAGACAAAAGGTGCGCGAGAGTGCAGCGTCCACGTGCCTCACGTGCGTCCGAGCTGAGAGGGTGGAGTTCGAGCGGAAAGGGTGTTCCTACACCACCAAATCTTTCACCTGGTGACCCATTTGGATTCAGAATGGATCCATTTGGTGCATTCCTCTCCCCCAGCAATGAGAAGAATGACCCCCCTGGTGCCTGCGACCCTGCCTTTCTGGCTGATCTTTCAAGCTTGGCGGTTAGCCCCTGGACACGTGGGGAGCATGGTGCGCCATGTCGACCAGGTGGAATGCCGGATGCCTGGCAAGGATGAGTTTGGGATGGTTTGGGTGATTCTCGCCTTGTTCTTGAAGGTCATGTCATCTTCTTTTCCCGGGATCGTGCGGTTTGATGGGATCTGCGGAGGACACCGCTCCGCGTGTCACCCCAAAGTTGAGCACCAGAGATCCGTGCCAAACCCTCAAGTCCCAAAACCCTTCTTGGGGCATACCGGCATACCCATGACTTGCTCCATGCTCCGTGGGCATAACCAGCAGCCTGGACCGAAGTTCTCTTCGACCATCAGACGTCTCAAACGTGCTCGTGAGCCTTTGGGTGGTGCTCCTAAGAGCGCAAAAAAGCATAGACTTGCCTCCAGAAACGGCGCCACGGGTAGCTCATTGCCCAGCACCGAAGTGGTCGGACCGTGGCGCTCGGATCCGGGTCGCCCGTCGCTGAGGAAGGATGCCTCGGGCAAGTGGGTGAACCAGCGCCTCGGCCGCACGACCGTGGGGTCGGACCGTGGCTCCGACTTTACGGGTGGAGAGGAGCTTTGGGCCGTGAGCCTGGGTGGATTCCATCAGCTGGAGATGGGACGAAGTTCCCTCCAATTTCTGAAGAAGTCTTTGGAGGTTGTGACAAGAAGGCTTTGAGGCAACCCCTCCAAATCAAAGGCCTCGTTTTACTGGGCTCTATTTTCTGCAAAACTGATAGCAAAATTCGACCTCCAAAAACTTGTCGTGGAAATGGTGGAAAGCCCGACTTTACTCCGTAAAGGACGTCTTTTAGTTCGGCAACTATAAGAAGTAAAATACTTTTTTACTTAGTGAAAGACGTCTTTTACTTGGCAAATGGTAAAAGTAAAAGACGTCTTTTACTTTATGCATATATGGTGCACATATACATGGCACGATGATTGTGATTCAACATGCTGCACCAATGGCTTCCAGGAGCGTTTTGCTCTACTTTCCGTTTCCGTTTCGCGCGAACATCGCACAGACAAAATATTTGTGGGAACCAAGCACATGCATATCATATAAGTGGCACCCAGGCTGCTAGATCTTTTAATATGAAGCAAGGTCGATGCGTTACAACACAGACAACGCATGTGGCCGAAATTCGCCGTTTCTGGCCCGGGCATGGGACCGTGACTCTACCGTGACTCTCGCGTGACTCCCACCTAAACCACGAAGTGTTTGACGTCCTTTACTTAGTAAAGGACGTCAACAACTTCGCCATGGACATCATTGGGCGTGACTCTAGCGCGACTCTATAGCATGAGACCTGCAAGCTTCTAATGCGATTTGACGATGAACTGTCATCGGCTTGAACAATGCACGCGTCCAATTGCAAGCAGCAAACATGACTCCCACGTAGCCACGTATATCATGGCAATGTAATTGGTCAATTGAGCAAACAACGTGCGCAAAAAAAAACAATACACCAAGAAAAGATTGGCACGCGTGGACTTGCATGGCTCCGCTAAAAGTGAGCGTATGGGTACCATGTCTCCGGTATGCATGTATAAGGACCATCGAACCCAAAAGAATGTTCCATGGAAATGACCTTAATGCCCAAAGACATTTGTGTGGAAGTGGTGACCTTAATGCCCAAAGAATCTTCCGTGGAAATGGTGACTTGAAAGTTGTTGAAGGTCAAAGAAAATGTGACCTCGTAAAACTGGGTCGTTTACAGCAGGACCTCGTAAAACTGGTCCTTTTGAGGTGGAGGGAACCGCTTCTAAATATTAGAGTAAATGGTCGAACCGTGTCTTAATGGCTGAGAGTGGGAATGGACTGATGAAATCCACGTGGATTTCGAGTGGCTGGTTTTGGTTTTGGATTTGCCCAGCCGAAGGGGGGGGGATCCGATGAAGAGTGACACTCCGGCACCATTCTTCCTTAGACCACTCAAAAACTTTGCATCATGGAAGTTTGCTCAAGTTTCCGTGGACCGAGGTACCACTTGTTGCAAGAGGTTGGCAGTGGAACCTTCTGCAAGGCGGGTATTGCGGGTGTTGGGGTTTTGGAACCAAGGAGATCAAACCCCGTTTTTTCGATGATGCTCTTGGCGTGTGTAGTTTGACATCTCCACCACCAGTTACTGTAGCTGGTGCTGCTTGCTGGGACTTCTGGGAACATGCGCGCGGCCATGATGGCCATCGGTGGTTCTCATCCTACTAACGAGGTGAACTTCTGCTGATCGCTAATAACGAGGTGAAGATTTTTTGGTACGGTAGGGGGAATTTTAAACCCAGAACGACCAAAGATGAGACCAACAAACCTCTTCTCTTCACGCCTGTGCGGTTCTTCTCTTCGCGGTACACGAGGGGGAAAGGGTGACACACAATGACACACAATGACACACAATGACACACACACACACACAATTAACCAACATGAAACCAGGACCCTCCTGTCGGGGTATCTTTTTGTGGCCCCTTAGCTGTGATTCGGGGTGTCCATTAACCACCCAACCTGGACCATCGGTCTGACCTGAGCGATGGGACGGCAGGTGCGCCTGGCGGAGAGCGCTGCAGGGATCCATGCGGTGAAGCGCTTCCCGCGCATGGCGCCTGGGACGCTGGGAGATGGTGATGTAGACCCTGATGATATTTCAACCTCTCAGGCCTGAAGAGGGTCTGATATATAATCCAAAGAACAATCATGGATTCGAGGTCTTATTAATCAAGAGTCTGCATTGGGGTGTGGTGCTGGTTCTCGCTTTTGGGCGCGTTTGAGAAGTTGCTGAGACGGAGTTGACGATGATGACCAGTGCTTGGAGGGGAGGGTTTTACGGTTGGGCGAATGTGGTGGGGTGTGTGCAGCTGTAGGGCTTAAGAAAGCCACTGCCAGCGATGTTGCTGGCAGCTGTGCGCCAGGGCAAGAGTGGTAGGGTATATATATATATATATTACTGTATAATAGTTATGTTTAGTTAGACCTTAGACGGATGGTTTTCAGCGGGCACTCAATTTTTTGCTGTCCCCATAGACCCAGGATGATCCAGGGAACCTCGCCCCCTTCGAGGCAGAAGCACCATCTTCGAGGCAGAAGACCCTGAAAACCTCAGATGGGGAATCGCAGCTTTCGTCGAAAAGAGTTGAGGTGATGCAGCGGCGCATGGTGGCGAAATTTGATGCCGAAGGCGCTTCAATGGTGCCATTCCAACAATGCATCGAGCAGGAGATACAGATCCTGGAGAGGAGAATGTGCCAGTGTGCACGTTAGTGCTTTGCTGAGAAGAAGTGTTTGGTGCTGGAGTTTTGACTAAAACTTGCTGGAGTGGAAGGCTGGTCATCCGATGGCAACCGTTTGGAGAAGTATGCGGTCATGACTATGATCGCATCATGAAACCCACGTTCACCCGAATTTTTGCAACCGCATTCTCGACGTTTTCTTTCCTATTTTGTTCCTGGTTTGGGGTGAGCTGTGCCAGGATACATCACCCGCAGATTGTGGAACTTCAAGAGGCAGATTTCGGAAGGGGACGAGAGGATTCGATGGAAAGGGACGACGTGTTCAGCTCAGCTTGTCATTTGCATCCTCCAAGTTCCAGCTCTGCTGGAAAAAACGTGTAGGTGTTGGCTCACCAGAAATAGCATGTTCTGGCTGCCCCATTGTTTGGAAACCACCCACACCGCCACAAATGTAGGAATGCCGGGCCTCTCGACTGCGATCTCTCTCTCTCTCTCTGGCAGTCCCTCACGGCTTCTCTTCTCCGGCCGGCCGCAGGTCATCAACGACCCCAAGGACGATAACTTGTATTTGATCTTTGAGGGCTTGCCTGGATGCCAACTAATGGATTGGAGTGAAAGGAGCTGCACGTATTCGGCCAGACCATCAGTGAACTTGCGCCTCGGGCTACGGTCACAGTCCGACGTACTGAAGTGCCGAGACCTGGGGCGCCCTGTCTGGGGCGTCGGATCGGAAGGCTTCTACAATCCCTTCCCTGGAATTGATCTCGGCAAGCCTCCTTCTGACTGAAGATCGTCCAGCCGGGTGTGTTTCATACAAGGATTTCCCTCCCAAACAGTTGCAGCGGAAGAGAGACTTCATCCATTTCTTGGGATTCTTAGGTTGAGACCACCCTATCCTTCCTGCACTTCGTGCTTGACAGCCGCAGGTTTGGGAGTGCTGTCGTTGACAGCCGGCGGGACACTGTTGGCGCTGCGAGCACTCTGGTCTTTCGGGAGGTGCTGGCGAAGCACTTTGCGCAGCAGCTGGCGGAGGGCATTTGCTACATGCACTCACTAGGCCGTCTCGGGCGTGTAGGTCGGATGGGGTCGCACCAGTGCGAAGGAGGTGTAGTCGGAGCCCATTTCAGATGAGGTAGTCACGTCCTGTGGCTGTGGATGTCCTCGATGTCCTGCACTGTGCCATGATCCCAACACATTGCACAGTATGCGCAGTCCAAAACGTGAATGTTTCTTCAACATGTCCCCAGTTGCGACTCTTCTAGCACCTTACTTCTGCGCTTTCTTCATTTGGAGTCTGCGGAGTTTCCACCGGCTTGGGGCCCCAGGTGTGATCCACAAAGACCTGAAACCCGATAACTTGGACGCCTGGCTCATCCTGGCTCCGCACGCGGAGGAAGAAGAAGGGCGTAAAGCTAGGAAGCTTCCTTCGAGTCCTCGAGTCTTCGATCTTGCTCCCGCCTTTTTTTTAAAGATCTTTTTGGGGCCTAGAATGGGAGGGATCTTGGGTCATTTTGTGTTTTTGCAGATCTGGGACTTATTTTACAAAACGCGGAATCTGATTTCAACACTGGGGTCTTTATTGCTGGTTCCGGCCAGGCCAGTCCGGCCAGGCCTGGATGTCTGGCTTGGCACGGACTGAGGGGTGTTTTCCCGGGCTTTGGTGCCGGGCTTTGGTGCCTTTCAACCGGTGAACATCCGATGAACCGAGGTCCTCTCCAAGCAGGTCCCCGATGATCCAGCGCTCCTGTGCACCCTCGACGTGGCTGAGTGGCCGAAACTCACGGTGATGGGCGACAAAGAGGAGGGGTCGAAGGTGGGCGACGTTAGGGAGCAACTGATAGGGAACAACACGTGGGCCAAAATGGTTGGGACGGCATATGTGGCGGGCACTTGGGAGGTGGTGAAGTTGAATTGGACTGCAGACCTGACCTTTGTGCTCTTTATTTGCCAGACCTTTTGATAGGTGAACTGTGAAGATCTTGTGGTGAAAATCGCCGACTTCAATTGTGCAGAAGAATGTCAAGAACCCGACTTCCTGATCTATGACGCACAAGGCGGAGCATTCGGCAAGAGCGCTGTTGGGGAGGTGGGAGGTGATGTTTCTTTATTTTTCTGAAGCCGATCCCATCGGCACCAATCCTTTTCGCCCAAGAAAACTCACCATGATGATGTTCTACACAAGTTTCTACACAGTTCTACATCTGCAAGGCTTCGCGAGGTGATCCCTCCATATTCATCCAAGTCCAAGACGTTTTTGGACTATAATAACCTCGGGCGCACTTGCCCGACCCAGCAGCGACTAGTAGCACATGAAAGACGGCCACTTTGAAGGGAACTTGGACTTCAATGGGCGGGTGACAGTGGCATGCAGTGGCCGTAGTCTAGGACATGAGCTACCAATGGAGCTTCCTTGTTTCTTCATGGCAGGAGGAGGGTGCTTCCAAAGCTCCGTGGGATTGCTTGATATTGTCCAGGATCTCCCCCCTACAGCCTGTACCTGTCGCGACAATGCTGAACTCGTGCGACGAACCAGGCACCCAAAGCTTTACGCCGCCCGAGTGCTTCAAGAAGGACGAGGAGGGCGTGAACATCAAGGGCAAGCCCCGGGACATGTGCCCTGGGATGCCGTCACACCCATGTAGGAGCGTGGAGAGGGGAGAGAAAGACCCCCCAACTAGCATGATGCAGCTTGGTGGTTCACAGAGGGAAGCCATCAAAGGAGAAATTCATGCATTTCCAAGTGCGTTCTCGACAGATGTTTGTCCTTTGTCTGTCAGGTGTTTTGCACAGAGGGGTGCGCCCTTTTGTTCTTGTTTTTGTTGGAATTTGGTTCCTCCAGAAGCTGGTTTCCATCAGCATACCGACATGCAGCCAGCTCTTCTCCAGTTTCCGCCCTTGCCATTGTTGCTTCAGTATTCTTTCTTTCTTTCTTTCTTTTTCACAGAGGTTGTTTGCCAGCCAGCTGATTTAGGGTGCTCGATGGAAAACTACTTGGTGTTCTTCCTACCGAACCCCCAAGCTCCCTTCACCAAGCACGGGGACCACTCCAGACCCACAGCCGATGAAAACCGCGCCAAGGTGGTCCTTAGGTTGCGTCTTGTTCGTTCTGGTCTATGGTCGCTGCCCCTTCTCGGCGGAAAGCAACCTTCTCCTGCAGCTGGACATCATGCAGTGCGAGCCGCCGGGCGCAGAAGATGGAGGAACCCCCCAAGTGAACCCGAGCAAAGCTTGTGCCCAAAGCGGGCCCCAAATAACGCACTGAATGGTTGAAATCGCTCAACCCCAATGGTGCCCTGAATTTCCATCCTCACATTTCGGGTGAGAGCGCCCAGAACGGTTTCGGGTTTCGGTGTGCACGTGCTGAGCCGGCAGCCGGCGGGACTTTGCAGCTGGTAGGGTCCCCCACTGGCACGGCTCCATGATGGTTCTTCTTTTGTACTCTATTCTTTCTTGGTTGGATCGTTATAGGTCCATGCAGTGCCTTCCAAATTGGCGATTCTTCGAATTGCCTGAGAGAGACCTTAAGAGTGTGATAGCACTCTAAGTTCTCGACAACCCCCGCAGTGCGCGGATTTGGCACCTGAACCCTTTCCTGGGGATTTGGATTTGGTGGAATTTCCGGTCGAGTTCCGAGGCTCGTGATGCCCGAGGGCGGGCCATGGCTGTCTGCTGAATACTTGCAGCTGCTTCGCTCGCTGCTGAGCTGCTCGGCACCGGGACCTGTCCGGCGGAGGAGTTCGGAGACCCCTGCTGAACGGGCATGTGTGGCCATGGCCTTCGGGGCATGGCGGCATGGCTTGGTGTGAGACATCCTGGCCCTGAGCTTCCAGGGCCATTCAAACGAATGGTTGGCCTGGTGTAGTCTTAAAGCCCGTCGGTAAAACCACAGCTGTTCGGGATGAAGACCCCCAAGTGAATGGTGGGCCAGGAATCCAGCCAGAGAACTGGAGAACTGAGTCCTGGGACTGCAGGTGCACCTCACAAGTTCTCTCTCTCTCTCTGTCATTGCTCCATATCTTATATCGCTATGTCATATGTATAGCTACATGCCAGCACTCTCAGGCCTTTGGGTAGCTGTTCTGAACCAGACCTTCACTTCGGGGCGGCCGTTTGGGTCACGAAGCCTCACCGCCGGCAGAGCCGCAGGTGCCGAGGCCGACGCGCGGCCCAGCGCGCAAGCGATCCTGCAGAGTGGCTGGTTGGTGGAAGGCACCCAGTGAGGCGGAGAGAACCAAACGGAAGAACGCGGAGAACACGTGCATGATGCATGATCTGTCAAAAAAGGGCTTGACAGCTTCTAGATTCTAGATCGTCGATGTTTCCTTGTTTTTTTGTGCTTCTTACAGCGCAGAACACCTGACACCCTAGGATTTGTGTCCGACCATCTCCAGAAGGGTGGCCATTTCCAAACTTTTTCTTCGGAAACACGCCCGAACGTGCTGCCGATGTGCCGCCCCCGGAGGGCCTGCCGCGGAGCGCTGCCTGATGTGCGGAGTGGGGGGTCACTCTTGGCTCGGGGGTCTGATAGCCTCACCTGCAGACCACTCCAATGTGCTCCATCGAACCTCGAGATTCCATAGCAGACTGAAGTCATGTTTCCTTCATGTAGTATGGAGGACTTCTTGGACTTCTTAGCTTGCCACAAGTTTGAGGACAATAGGGACGGTGAAAAGATCCGGCCGGGTTCGCCATGGTGCTTCTCCAGGTGAGTACGGCAATCACAGAAGTTTGAGACTAGAAAGGAACCTACCTGGAAAGGCACAAATTGGTCAATGGCCGCCCGCTTCATCAGTTACTGTAGATTTGCAGCAGTTTCTTTGCTTGGCCACTAACTTTCCAACTCCAGCAAGGTGACGTGGGAAGTTTAGGGAGCCCCGCCCAGCTTCAGACCCCTCATGCCTCGAGTGCCGCTGAGAGGACCTTAGTACGCTCGTCGTCGCTTTGGCATTAGATGCAGGTTTCTGGATGAGAGCCTCGAAGCCCTGAAAGCTCCAATTCGCTGATGAATTCCGAATTGGCCGGCCATTCTTCAGTCGGCACCTGAATTCCAATGACCGGCTTCCATCCACACCTCGAAGTCTCACGTTGTGCAGTAGGTTGCATCACTGGCACCGTCCTGGGCGGCCTGGTGACAAAGCTGCTTTCAGGTGGATGCACCACAGACCTGGGGTGAATGAAGATGAGCCCGGATGAGCCCCATTTTTTCAGGTGAACGTGTGTTCTATCAAGTTTATTAGTTTTTGTGATGTGTGCAGGGCACGATTGCGAGCTATGATGGTTTGCTTATGTTTGCTTCATGTTCTAGCTGCTGAGTAGGGGATGAGATTCAACCTCACTCTGGTTGAGGAGATGCTGAATTTTTCACGTTTCTGTTCTTGGCGTGAAATTTTCTCCCCCAACCTCCCTGGCCTTTCACGCCCCTTCTACTTCTCCGGACTGCGGTCATTTTCGACGCCCCTGTTGATGCGTGTCCATGTGCCGCATGCGCTCTTCGACGGGAGCGCCAATTTCCATGATGCCCACGGTGCCATGGAGGCCAGCCGTGTAGGGCAGTGGGGGAGGAGAGTCATGCCATGGTGTTGGTGCCTGGGTGGAGGCGATTTTATTTTTCTCTTGGAAGAGGGGAGCTTTGTTTCAAGCAAAGCTTTTGTTCATTTTTGGCCGTCCAGTTTCATTTTCATGTTTGTTCTTGTCTCTTCTTCTTGTGATGGGCAGAGGCAGAGTGGAAGGCGAGCGGGGCATCTATAGAGACATCATGAGACATTCGTATGGTGTCTCTTGTGACTCTTGCAATGTTTGCTGATCCGAAGCCTATTTTATGTATAGCTTAGCTTAATAGCTTTCACACTTTTTGTTTTTCCTAGGCACTAAGAGCGACACTAAGAACCGAATGCCGGCATCAAACCCTCCTCTTTGTTGCAGGCGATGTGTCCCCAGCCAAGCCCCGCCAGGAGAGGACGAGCATGGAGAACGAGCCGGCAGAACCGGCAGAACCGGGACCGGTGCTTTGGTGGCGGTTTCGTGGGCCACCGTGGAGTACAAAGGAGTTTCCCTTCCAAAAAGAGCCAACAAAGAACATGGAAAAGTGAGTTGCCTCTGCGAAAGGATGCTTCATTTGTGCAGGCTTTGCTTGAGTTTTCTTTTTCCAAACTATGTTTCCACAGCAAATGGCTCATTTCGCTGTAGTTGTGGGGTAGCCAGCTGCCTCCCTGACACGTTTTGTAGGACCTGATGGGTGGCCCTTGGTAGCAAGACACAACTCCCCGGCCTTGTCAAAAAGATCTTGATATTGAAAGGCTCAGCTCTTTGGTCGGCCGCAGATGGCGGACACGTGAAGTCATGTGTGTTTACTCATGCTGATGCTCATCTGGTGGGCCCCAAGGTGTCGCCCCGTACACCGCCCGTCTTTGGACGGCCAAGCCGACGCACCGGATGCTCCCTTCGCCTGCTCCACCCTCGGGGGCTCCACCACCCTCCTGCCGAGCTGAAGAGGTGGACCGTGTGGACACCGTGCAGCTGGAAGCGCCACCGGCACCGGAGTGGGCCGCGGCGGATGCTGAGGGGCCTGAGTCGCAGCCAGAGGTGGGGTTTTGAGCTGGGGTGAGCAGTCGTTTTTGGAGAGAGCACGCGCGGAATTCCTCCCAAAACAGTCATTTCGCTTTTACCTGATGAAGTCGCTCAACTCCAGCTATCCGTTAATGGATAAAACGTGTTCTTGGGAGGACGTCCGCATCGCCCCAAGTGGAGGATGCATACCAAAGCTTGTACTTCACCTCCCTTTCGTTGTAGATTTTGAGGTGTAGATATAATATTATGTTTCCTCATCTTTAGCAAAGGGGAATCCTCCGATGCAACTTATGAATCACAACCTTTTGTCACAACCACTGGGGTTGACCTTTCGCACTTGCAGGACGTGGCCGCGCCCGTGTCGCCCGCGTTGTCCGCGTCGCCGGTGTTGCCGGAGCCCCCCGCAGCCGTGCCGCGGCAGCGGGCGGCGACCGGCGGAGCCGCGGCAGAGGGCGATGGAGGCGATCGCGAGGTGGACGTGGCGCGGAAGGCCAAGTCCTCGGAGGAGGCGCGGTACAGGGGTGGTGCTTTGTTCAAAGCCAGGTGAATTCCAGGTGCCAAATTTGATAGAGCCACGGTGTATCGGTTTGGGAGATCGCCCTCCTCGGAGAGGCCGGGATGCTGGGGATGCGATCGCACCCACAGACTTGAGGTTGATGGAAGGCAAGCGAAGAAGGCGAGGAATAAGGCAAGGACAAGCTCTTCATGCAGAGAAACCTGCTGATTGTGAACATAACGAAGAATATTTTACATGATCTATATTTGGTGCGCTTGTAGTTGCTTTGGACCTCAAGTCTTGACGTCTGCCGTGCTCACCACACTGCTAGGGGGTGAAAAAGAAGAAGAAGGTCGCCTATGGAGCCACGGAGGAACCAGAGGAAGAAGCTGAGGAAGATGTGAGACCAAACGTCTGGATCCTGAGGTGGTTGAGGGGATGTGGTGTGGGGGCCGGGATCCAGCAGTTTGCTTCATGGTCAGTTCAACTGTAGTTTTGTTGTGGAAACACGTGGCATCTGAATTGCTCGTCCCAAAAGTCTGTTTTCGGCGGCTCGACACCGGAGATTTGCCTCGGTCGCATGAGGTCATCGGGTGTCCCTCGGAAGCGATCAAAGTGGAAATTGTGGCTGATGGAGTTCAGGGTCCTATCAGCGATCGACCAGCCAGGAGGGAGACAGATGGGAATCAGGTCTCGGAGGTCGGAGAGCAGGTCCATGTCAATGGAACGTGTTGCTGTTGAAATCCGGTGAGAAGTCATTTGATGCGATGTCGAAGCACCTGAGGAGTTGAAGTCAGGATTGCAGGCTCCATTCTTGTCCCCAGTTTCCTCTACAGCCGATGTGTATAGTTCCCTTAGATTCCACGTCCGTTCTAGTTGTTGGGAGGAGTTTGGGGTTTGTACTACCGCCGTCTGCAGGATGCCTCCATACTTGCCGTTCCACTTTCGGCTGGATGCACCGTGGCTTTAACGGTAGATGACAACCCAGCAGATCACAACTGAGTTAACATGAGTTAACATGCGACTGGTGCCCTGCCCATTGTTTTCAGTGTTTCTGCTTCTGCCACAGTTTCTGAGTTCTCTCAGCTTGGCACAGAGCCAAAGTGCAAAAACAGGGATGGACAAGACACATCAGATACTATAAGATCATATACTATAAGATCATATATGAGTTAACATTCTTCCAGGTCTCTGCGATCAAGATTGGCAAGTCCTTCCCAGAGGGCTGGCGGCATATCCTGAAAGCAAAGCTGGAGATGGAGTGGCGATATTGTCGAAGCTCGGAACTGAACTTGCTCCCAGTAGCGATGCCAGGAGCCCCTAGTAGCTTCTTGCTCTGTTCGTAGTAAGGCCAGGAGCCCCTAGTAGCCTGGGATGCGCCCCGTTTTTTACGGGAACTTCTGGGAGCGCTTCACCTGCTGCACACGCCAAGTGGGGCTTGTAATGGCAAGTGGTCTTCGTCATATTTGCGGCATGTCCAAGGAACTGAGGCGTCGTTGGGAGCACCTGTTCTGGGTTGTAAAATTGCAATGCGACGTGAGTTGGGGTCAGCTGAGTCAGCTGGGACAGGTGTGGTCCTGGACTCCACGTGGATCAGAAGTATCGGCGTTTCAATAGTCGAAGGACCCGCTGGATGAAGATGCTTATTTATTCAAAGGGATCTGCGTTCGGCTTTTTACATCTTTTTGACTTTCTTCATGCTTTAAGCTGCTTAACTCTCAAAAGAAAGATTGTCTTTTTACAGATGAAAGTCAAGGAATTCAGTGTGTTGCCATGTGTTGCCTTGTTGCACCTGATTGGTCTCTCCACCGTGGCCCCCGAGCGAGCTTGAGAGCTTGAGAGCAATGAGATAACCTAGCTCGGATGTGGGACACCCAACCTAGAAATAGGCAGAGCACCCGAGCTCATGATCCTCATGTTGGGTTAAAATATGCCGAAACAATCCGAAACATATCAATAGAATATATAAACTGTATGCAACAATAAAGGAGACTGTGAGTCAGGGGGTCCGCTGTTGCACCCTGCACAGCCATGTTTTGTCCTCCGAACCGTCCCGCGCTGTCCCGCGCTGTCCCGGACGGACGGGGGCGGCCGCGGCCGCGTGTCACCTGGTGCCGCGTGTCCCGAGGGAAAGACCAGGGGCGCGCCTGGATCGCCGCCGAGGAGCTGCCGTGCGAGATTCGAGATGCAGCCTTGCAACATCAGAAGCCAAGATGCATCAGAAGATGGGCGTCGTGATTTTGAGACAAATCTCAGAATCTCTCAAAGAAACCAAAAAAGTAATCTCCATATCCATCTTTGACCGCCAATGGGTCTCACACAGATGTGGGCATGAAAGTTGTGCGGAATCTACCTGAGGACCGGTTGATTAGGGTAGTCACCGGTTGATACTGAGAGCTTGGAGGGAGATGCTTTTTCACAGGTTTTCACAGGTTGTCACAGGTCTAGTTCTGTGCATTTTGTGGAATTCTGTCAATTTCTTCAATGTCCAGAGTTTAGACCGATCCAAGGAAGAGTCTTGAGTACGTTTGGACAGGCATCAAGGAACGTCACTTGGACAAGGAACACGTGGTGAGGCAATCTGCTAAGAACAAGCAGAAGGAACGTTTCAAGTTGAGTAGCTGAGTGTTGAGTTTTGGAGGAGCTCTGCAGACTTGAGACGGACCTGTGTCAAGTAGCGCCCACTGTGCTGCATTTCTGCTGTCCATTGCCCACCCTGCGCAGAACCATACCGCACCACATTTGTTTGTTGCTTCGATCAGGAAAAGAGGAGAGTTGGCAGTGCAAGGAGACAGGCAGCTGATCTGAATATACTTTTTAATATATATAATATATATAACGAGAATGAAAGCAGATGGTTTGAAACATTTCGAAGCGCATTCTGTGCTTTACTCTCTCTCTCTCTCCCTCCCTCCCCTTCCGGAATTCGGAGGCAGATTCGGTGAACTCCAAGGACAATGGGACCATTGTGTTCTGTTTTTTCGCTGGCGCGTCTGCTTCAACCAGACTTCACTTGTGAAACTCTTGTGCCCCTGCTTGGAGACAACCACGCACATGAGGTGGAGATTAACGCCCACGCAGTAACCCATTAGCCAATCACTTTACCAAGGGGGTTCTCCAAGTCGCTCACGAGGCCCGAAGGAAACCCTGCTCTTCCCCGAGTGAAGTGCTTTTGGGTGCGTTTTGGAGATCCTGCAAAACGCCAAAGCAGCGCAGTCTGTTTGACATGCGTGGTGTGTGTGTTTTGATGCTTGAGGTCAGAAGACCTTCCCCATGAGGGTCATCGACTTTGAGACGATCCCGGGCCATTCCCTACGGAAGGAGGATCTCCCTGAAACGGCACTTCACCAGGCACGGTTTTGTATAAATTGATCTGGCCACTGGCCAGTGACAAGACCAGAAAGGAAAAAGGACGTGGGTTTAGTGAGTGAACCAACGCACCTTTCACACCCCATTTTTGTGATGGGGACGGCACTTCTGCGAGGGGACCACACTTCTAGAAGATTGGCAGAGCATCTTCGGGAACTGGGTCCCGAAACGACCGGAACCTGGGTTTCTCATCTACTTGCACACTTCATGATACACGTTTCCCTGGTTTCTCGATCTTCTCCTATTGCGGCTATCTCTTCAGGGTCCATGGTGCGATGGAAGACTAGACCGCCCGTTTCTGCATGCCAACGTCCACCCCAGGGGCGAGAGGAGGATGTTTGGTGCCACATGATCTATGACCTCAGCACGGATCCGCTGCTGAAAGAGATTGGTCATGAAGGCCCCACCAAGTTTTCAGCCTTGATGCTTCTCTACATCTCCTACCTTGAGGGGGAGAAGTCGAAGTCTCTTGGCATAACATGGCATAACCTGACATGTGACATAGTGTTGTCGAGTCTTGTATAGTGTGGTGTTGTCCTATTGATAGTAGGGGGCCTCAGCTACGCTGGTCAGACGGAAGTTTCACCAATGGTGTGACTTCTTTTTGTGTGGTTGCAGATTTGGAGTATCTTTAGCTGCTGGGGTGAGCCATCGAAATCACATTGAGTACGTGGGAGAGTCCGGGTTCCGGCAAGCAAATGCACTGCAGAGTTCCCTTGAGGCACGCCACCGAGATTCGCATTGCTCACATCGACCACTTCGAGTTCGCGTTTTGTTTACCGCGCTCGCCCTACAGCTCTTGCACACTGGAGGAGCCTGAGGAGGGTCTGGCCAGGCCGTCGAGTCGTGGGCAACAAATAGTCGCGTCGCAGAGCTTCGGGAGAAGCTGATGATTTTCAGACCGGGCCCAAAGGAAGCCCAAACGCTCCCGCTTTCAACCAAAGCCACCGCTTTCAGCTTCTCTTTGAGAGGGTTTGGTCTCGGCTTCAGCCTGGGCACAGAAGCAGGACACATGGGGGGCGACGGTGACATCAGCGCCTGTCGACAGGTGGTTTCCAGCAGACCTTGAGAACTCGCGGCCCCTCGAGACCTTGATGCGCCTGGGATCGGCACTTGTGCGACCTTCCGGGAGGTCCGGGGCTGCCTGAAGTGGATCGTTCCAGGAAGTCCAGAAAGTCATTGACTACATGAATATAGTAGAGGGATGTAGAGGGGTGTAGGGAGTTTTTGGCACAATCGGTCGAGTCACATCTATATCTTTCATCACTTCCAGGCATGACCTTTGACAACAAACTGTCCTGGCAAATGGCCCGAGAAGGACGAACATACCCGTGAAGTGCATCTTCTTTCCACGTCCTCATGTTTGTTTGGGTAGAGGGTAGCTAGAAAGGCAGATCTATCATGATCTATTTATCGGCAACCATCAACTGCGGTTTCAGACAGACTTGGTGATTGAGTCGAACTGACATGGAGACGACCTGGCCAGAGAATGCCACGGAGGTTTGCCGAATCGCAAACCAAAAATCAAGGTGATGGCATGGTGTTAGACAAAATTATCCTTTGCAAACCTGGTGTTATCACCGGTCCACACACACAAGCCTAAACTAAGCCCCGTGTTAACGTTTCTGTTTTTTCTCACGACTGCTTCGCTAAGGGCAGAGGCGCGGGCTAGCTTGACCTGGCTCTTTTGGGATTGCTTCGAAGAGCTGTTCCCCAAGGAGGTGTGGCATCCGCGCGGGCAATGAATGTAGACTCTTGATGACCCTTGATTTATAAAAGCACCCTTTTGAAGAGGTTGTGCCATCCAAATGAGAGTGTTGTTATATCATTAAAAACACAACTATATAACCGTCTACATGAATTAGCGGTGTGAGGTGCCCCAAAAGATCCCAAAAGTAAAGACTGTCACAATTACCAATGCTTATATAGCAGACATAGTCACATAGCTGAGGGGGATTCACTTTTCCATTGATTTGGCGGGCCCGATTGTGCGCAGACCTTGACCAAGAAAAGCACTAAGAGGCAGACAGCCTTCGAGCTTTGGCAAGGAAGACTCATGTGATTCACATTGATTGAGAATGCTGACGCACATTTGGTCGCTTGATGTCGTTTTCAAAGCCCTACCAACTACTAGTGATCTGGTGGGACAAGTGTTCTTGTCCCGAGCGGCATTTGAGAAGTACTGACATGGTGCATGCCCCTCCCAGCTTGGAACTCTTGAGTAGATGGGCTACAGATGGCTAGAGTCACTCAATACAAGCTTTAAGATGCTTTAAACATTGAACGGGGAGGACTTAAATGTTCTGGACCGCCAAGGGGCCCAAGGATGGGTTACTGTAATAACTTGATCTGTTGTGCTTGTCGTAGACTGACCCGTAGACTGACCCCACTGACATCTGCGACTGCCTGCCATCAATCGGTGATGATGTATGTCCAAGGCTGACAGGGTCAAATCCTTGGTCTACACTAACGGCACCAAGGTGGGGACAGCGGCGATGTCGAACGAAACGTCCGGTGCGATGTGTAGGACATCGCTGTGCCAGTTGGGTCGTGAGAGATCGAAACGGTCCCAGTTTAGCTCGGAACAGCAAGTGAACAAACAGGCATCCACAGCCCTGAAGCAACACCTTGCTTTCCAGAACTATGCACACACACATATATATATAATATATATATATATAATATATATAATATACAATATATATATAATATATATATTTTTACATATTCGTATATTTGTCTTCACACACATATATATATGTATGTATATCATATGTGCAGTGTTTTTGCAAGACCACATTGAAACCGTTTGAGGTGCCCTCAACCCGCACAGTCACCAATCTTGTATGAACTGAGTTTGCATCCACTCTTAGCAGGCGGCGCGACAGTTGGGTCGACCAACTTGGTCCCTCAAGACACAAGTCCCTTTTAGGCTGAAAAACCACGGGCTGAAAGCTCCCCCCAAATGGATGCATTTCCTCTCTCCGTACTGTGACCCTCCTTAGCTGACGGTCTCAAAGACCACGGACAGCTTGAAACATCTTGAAAGTCAGAAGAACACTGTGACCCTTTTCTGGATCCCCGAGGGTTTTTCGTTTGGGGCTCGACGCGGCCTCTCCGCGGTCTCCATCTTCATCCGAAGCCGCCACAGGACCTGCGCGACTGCGAGACGCGCGGCGAGGCGATGGGCGCCTTGCTGTCGGTGGTCCGGGCCCAGGCCTTTCAGCCACCTGGGCAGCGTTGGGCCGCGGACGCCGCGTGACCGGGACCTGGTCTTCTTCTTCCCCGACCCGAATCCTGACCAGGTTTGGTGTGGTTTGGTCCGGTCCCTCCTCCGTTGCCAGTTTCTAAACTTATGTACTTGTTTCCCAGAGGGGATGTGTATTTTGTGGGTGAGCTTATCAAGCCCGTCAGATCCAGGTGCCTCACAGTGCACCTCTCGCGAACAGGACGATCCGTGCTGGGAATATTTGAAGCTGGTGTCTCTTTATGAGACCCTTCTTAGCCCATGTATGTCAAAGAAGTGAGCCCTTGGCAAGAAGTTGACCGAATCAGTTAAAGATTGACCGAAGCTTGTCCTTTAAAAAGTTCCATGCTCCCATGTCAAGAACTTCTTGAAAGAAGGTCGACGGCCATGGAGGGGTAGCTGCGGAGCATAAGGCACAAAGAAAGAGAGCGAAAGAGAGAGAGAGAGAGAGAGAGAGCGCCATAATTTAGCTGAAGGGCGTGTCAGCAACCATAGGCCTGAGACACGACTTCTCCAAGCGGTGTTGTTCCTCTTAAGGTCCAAATCACAAGCTCTAATGACAAGCCCTCCAATGGCCTGAGGTTTCCCTTCCGCGTGCTGGTGCGTGAAGTGGAGCCCGAGGGGCGCCCGGGCGGCAAGTCGTGGACTCGTGGGGACTCCCCTGGACGGGCCATGGCGGACCTCACTGGACGTCACCGGGCCTGAGCTCCGCTCCTTGGAGCTTTCGGTGTTGGGGTCGGAGCCGAGTCTGTTCAGGCTGCTGCCGGCGATCGAGAAGGCAGCCAATTTGGCGATTCAGGACTATCAAGATTCCATGAGAAACTTGGCGGAAATGGGCACAAACCATAGTGGCTTGTAGAAGAACTTAGAGCTTTCTGTTCTTTCGTTGGGTTTTCGTGTGGATTCAAAGATTTTGGGAGGTACATTCGTTTTTTGTGTATCATTCTGAGTTCTTTCGCGTTTTTCACCTCATGTTCGCGACTAGTTCTTTTCAGTATTTTCTTTCCAGTTCTTTCCATTTGGGCCGAGGCAACGAAGGTGGCCTGCTGCCACGTCAGTGGGCGAACAAGTCCTCCCCGCCTTTGCAACTGAAGGAGCCCAAAGGCCGCCGAAGCAGACGAAGGGCCGACGAAGCGTGGCAAATTGGGGTGAAAGGGCGTTTGGAGAGTTCCCTCGGATTCCAACAACCATTGATTTAAAGGTCCTTATCAAAGAACCATTGTAAACCATTCTGTTAATGGTCTTTGAAGGCTAGGGAGTTGCTTCGTGCCGAACAAGCGTGGGGAAAGACAGCGTCTACCGGACGGTTGGGCCTATCAGATAGGCAAGGTGGTGGTCCAAAAAGGGAAGGTCATGTTTGGCATGTTCGATTGGTGGGAATTTTTGACTTGCACGGGCACCCCCATGCATTGACGCATTGACTTCCTCCTGCTGCCGATCCAACATGGCCTTAATCTGATGCTTCAGGTGGAGTTGAAACAACTTAAGACTTACTTAAGCTGGGTTCAGGGCCCATCGCACCGCTGGCAGCATGCTCCTCCAACTGGTTAAACGAACCCTGCTCTCAGCCGTCCAACGGACTTTGGACTTCTTTGGCCAACCTGCCCCCACGTCACGCCCCCGCGTCCAATCCACGGCCAATCCATCGCGCAGCTGGCTTGAAGCTGTTGACGGAGCTGGAGGTCGCTCCCCTGCAGGGTCCGCGCTTGGCTTTGATCAAGTGCACGGGAGTCATCAAGGTGGACCGCTCTGAGCTGCGGCACGACGAGACGCTGGGCGATACGCCAAGACGGGGGGGTTAAACTATGTTAAACTCGTGGGCTAAAGAGTTGGGCGGGGTGAAGTGGGGAGCCAGCTGAAGGAAAGATTGGTAAGAGGCAGAGGGCTAGAAGGAAGCATGCATTGGCCATGATGGGCCTCCTTGTGCTGTTGGATTGTCATGAACGTTTGCGGCCACGGATCAACCCTCACAGGTCCAGGCACCGTCGATAGAGGGCCCCACACTCACAACCAGAAAGGGTGTGGTGTCATTGCCGTTTTGCTAGCCACTCGTCTTTCTCGGTCGTCTCAATAACGAGGGGAATATGGACAACCGAAGCGGTGGTTTGGAGCCTGCCATAACCATAACACCTTCATTGCAAGATTGGCAAGGATGTCATATTTCAAGAGCTGAATCATCAGCATGCACCATCAGCCTGAATGATCATGAACCCCGCGAGGCCCTCCAAGCTGTGCCACGCAACCCAGAAGCGGATTGGCTCCCGTCCATTTTGTTGGTCCACCTCTGTTTGTTCTGTGCGACTCCTAGAGACCTCCTTTGTTCGTTGCGTCGGACACACGTGACCCGTGGCCGGATGAGGCCGGAGGAGGAGGAGCACCAGGCTGACAGCGGCGAGGCTCAGGAGACAGAGCAGGAGGAGCACCCGGAGGAGGCGCGGAGAAACGGGGTGGGTTCTTGGAGGGAGGGATGGAGGAGGGGCAGAGGAGGAAGAGTTGTTTTCGGAGGAGAGGTCTCAAAATGAGGACTCCGGAGGACACCCCAGTTACTCCAAGATGGGGGCCGCAAGCTGATCCTTAGAGCGCCCGGTCGAGCGTTTTTGTTGGGAAAACACGTGGCTATGACCGCTATGACAGCCCTGCTGGCAAACACATGCTAACACAGAAACCTCAAGACAGGTTCAATGGTTTGGAACAGAAAGTTCCGCCTGGAACTTTGCCTGGAACTTTGCGGTGAAATCGTCCATAAAATCATACATCTATCTAATTCGGCTCACCCCCTTGGGCCATTGGGTCTTGCAGCCTTGCAAGAGGGAAACCTCATTTGAATCCGTTGGGAGTTTCCTTTTCTCCTGTCAGGAGGGGATGATCATGACCGTGGACCTGTCCAGGCCGGACCCAGAGAATTGGATCAGGTGTGATGAGGTTTCGATGGCATGTAATACGAACGGAAGAGGTGAACTTGGGTTCATCGATCTACGTATGCCAGCACCGTTCCTTTCGCGGTGTTGAATGGAATATCTTTCTCTACTTGTGGATCTCCATTGGACACCACTTGAAGGTCCAGGTAAAATGGATTTTTCCTTAGGACGCACTGTACCTGGTCATTTTCCTTCAGCCAGTCTTCTGGGGACGTCACTAGATCAACAGAATGGTATGTACTCCATGGACCTCCATGGCTTCATCGGCATCATCATCTTCAGTAATTACCTGATTCACTGGCAACCCATGGTAGGACTCCTTTCTCTTGCACTTTGCTTAAGCCCAATGATCTATCTCAAAATCCAAACATTTGCATGACATTGCATGACCATTTTCCTATAGTGTCTCCACATTCTATGCTATGTACTAACATGCAGCGAACGCCACCCGGTTCCTTTTGACCTTTTGGTCTCCTCCCTCCTCCAGGTGGAAGGAAGGCGAACTCACGGTTGCCGACCTCAACATCGACGATCACCAGTCCATCCGCGGCCCAACGCAGAGACTCCAGAGCCGTCGAGAAATCGACCAGGTACGAAAGTAGTACGGGAACAACATGGAAACCCCCTGCCACTGGGGGAAAGACAGGATCTCCGGGAACGAACCGTTTGTTTGTTTTGGAGAGTTTCCCCCAAAAGACCCAATGAGACTTCAGCCAAGGGGAGACCTTAACGGCTGTGGAGTACATGGAGGAGGTCATGCGGGAGAAAGATGTGCCTCCAGTGAAGGGAAGCCAGGCGCACCGCAACGAGAAACGTCGCGTGACGCGTCGCTTTTGGCGCGCACGAGACAGGTTGGTTTTCGTTGACTAAGACATGGACGAACATAGGACATTGCGCAGGTTCATTGTCTATGGGCCACTGAAGTGAGGTGTCAAGCCTAGCGATCTGGTGCTGTCATGTTCTGCGTTCAAGGAAGATCCGCGAAAAGACCTGAAGGCCAAGATGGCAGAATTAGCATCTTGGCTTATCAACCGGTGACCTGCATAGAAAGACACCGGGCTTGGAGACGGACAGCGGATCACGAAGTCTTGGATGGCGGAGCCCTTGTGAGCCGCAAGCCGCTGTGGCCTGACGTTCGGCAGCCCCCCATAGCAGGGGAACGCCACTTCGACGTTCAATTCCAAAAGCAAGATTCGCCGCCTTTGAATCTCAACCCATGCCCATCGCAATGTCTTTGAGATTCATTTGCAGATCTTGTTTGGGGGCGCCTCCCCCAGCACCAGCCCGGTCGGTCCGGTTGGTCCGAGGCCTTTGGGCTGCGTGCGCTGCAACGGGCCTCGCTGAAGCATCAGCTGCGCTCGGTGGGCTTGGCAGTGCTGGAGACGGAGCGCGAGGCCCGTAGCTGGTGCAAACCGCATGTCCAGTAAGGAGCCTCAATCGCAGTACTGTTGACTGTTAATTAATGATAATGTTATATAACATCTCATTAGCAAACTCCCTATGAAACGAAATACATATTTTTCCCCGGAGGTAGGTCAAAACTCTCAACCTCAATAGAAAACCTCCAGGCCATTTGGCATAGGGGGGAAAGCACAAGATAACTAACAGCAGTGTAGGTTGGTTTATAATTGCAGGGGGTAGGAGCCTAAAGGGGTACCCTTTGAAGATAACTTTTTTGTATTTGTTTGATAGGGTTTGCATAAGGAAACCTAAAGCTTTTGGCTAGCCAAAGGTTTTGGAAATCTAATTGGCACAAATAAAAATGAAAGATTCCACAAAAGAACGAAAAGAAAAGGAACAGGAGCAGGACAAAGATAGGGGACATTAAAAGTGATTGAAAGGGAAAACACAAGATAACTAACAATCCAGCAGGGCTGCAGGGAGGAAGCATTCTGAAGGCAAATTGGGTGAGAGAAACAAGCTGATTATTATTTTCTCAGGTTCATAATTGATTCGTCATTTTTTTATTTATCCATTTTGGGGTCTGGATGTTGGCGCAATTAATAGTAGTATTGCAAAACCCTGGCAGGCCAAAAAGCAGATTATTATTGTCTCATGGTTCATTAATGACATGTTAACATTAAACCCCTAGATGGAGATGTAAAACTATTCTAGCGGGGAGGGTTTATTACTCGACAAGATGACAAAGTGGAGAGGGAGCAGCAGCCGCCGCAGCCGGAGCAGCCGTAGCGGCGGCGGCGGGAGAAGGGGCAGAAGCAGGAGCAGCAGGAGGAGTAGTAGAGTAGTAGAAGTAGCAGAAGCAATAGCAGCAGCAGCAGCAGCAGCAGCAGCAGTAGTAGTAGTAGTAGTAGTAGTAGTAGTAGTAGTAGTCATGGTGTTGTCGTTGTTGTTGTTGCTGCTGCTGCTGGTGGTGTTCCCATCGCGCTTTTCTTCGCCAGGTGGCCACTAGCTCCGCCTCCGCTGTTGTTTGGTCTCAGGCTTATCAGCATTTTGGACGGCAAGAGGCCAGAGAAGGGGGCGTGATGCAGTGTGGTGGTCTTGACAAGATGGAATCCTGGAAGGAACGAACTGCTGTTGAAATGGAACGTTCATGAATCGGAATCCGCTCCTGTTTTGGGGTGGCAAAGGGCCATGAAAGTGGACTTGCAAGACTCGGGGAGTTGTGGGGAAAACCCACGCTACAACTTGTCTTCGCAAAGATCACGCGAGGGGTTCCAGAAAGGGAACGCTTTCCTTTATGCATTTTTACTTTGAAAGGGATTGTTTTCCACCTGCTTCTGGGGGTCAGTCTGGACAACCATGGACAACCCAATTGATTGGTTGCGATGTTGTGGACCTTCATGGCCAAAGGGATTGCCAGTACGGGCCTGGGCCTGTAGTCCCTGTAGCTTATAAAGGACACTAGCTTGGAACAACAACACAGAGATCGTTTGTTTCCCAGGGCCTCCTTAGAGGTTAAGGGGTGTCCAGTGGGGTGTCCATTCTCAATTCTTTGGGGGGGTCTGTGACGGCTGTCATCTTCCCACGCAGGAGTTGTCCCCGAGCGCTGAACCTGAAGAGAAGCCTGTCCAGCGGGTGCTGTTGCTCAGCGCGCCAGAGCTCATCTTGCGGCGCCGGGCGGAGGTGAGGGCCGGGCAATGGCCACAGTCAGACAAATGGCTTCTTGAAGGAATTCTTATCAGGATTCATGGACATTCATAAGCTTTAGGTCAATCTCGGGCTCCCACGCAGGTGCGGAAGCTCCGTCGGAGGGTCTTGCCCAACAAGGCGGGGCGGAGCGCGGAGGGTGGAGCGAATCTGAGGAAGAATATGATATTATGATGGGATGAAGTAGCTAAGTAGTACAAGCATGCACAACATTGTGCAACCCAAGGAGGGGTTTGCAGTGAGATCCAGCGGCAGAAAGATGCGACTCCACTATCATTGTAGAAATGCCAACGCTCCCTTGTGATTGGGAAGGGGTTTGATGAGATACCTTTTTTTTCCGGTATATAACCATCACTCGCAACCAGACCATATACATGCTATGCTTTCTTCTCCCATACGCTGGCCACTTCAAGAGGAAAGATCTCTTCTGGAAGGCCAAAGGTCCCCTGGTAGATGCACTTCCATGCCATGCTGCTGGCACCAGGGTCAGAGGGCGGGCGAACGGTCGTGCTGCAATAAACGCGCACGCTTGTCTTGTCGACCTCTTGAGACCGTTTTGAAGGTAGGAGAACGCCAACATCACTGTAATGAGGTGAACAAACCGCCAAGAAACGACCAAAAACACTGTTTGAATGTCGTGACACCCCCCCCCACCGAGAGAATCTGCCGACAGACCGGCGTGGCGTAGAGTGCGGCGTAGACCGACTCGACACACGGTCTCCGCACGGTTGTTGCACCGTCTCCGCATGGAGAAGCCCCAAAAGCCCACCAGCCATCCCCTCCTCCCTGAGCCTCCATCGTCAGCCGCATGGAGCCTCTGTCACCAGGTGAATGAGGAGTTCTTGGGAGGTTTCAAGATGGAGCAGTTCGACCAAAAGGGCCCACTGCAGAAGTACTGGGTGGAGACCCCTCAGCCGCCCGGGACGAAGCGGTTCCAGGGGTCTCGTGTGACGGTGTGACGTGTGAAAAAGAAGAACGGAGACCTTTTTCAAGGTGTGAGATCAGTGGCACTCTATATCTGTATATGGAATTGGGAAAAGCTGTTCTGTTCGTGGGGTTTTGCCACTGGGAGGCTTCTTACACCAATGTTTGTCCATGACCCCCAAGTCACATCGTGTTGTCTGTTTCCACCCCCTCTACTGGCAAAGTCTAGGTGGCCGGTCACCAATCATCAGTTGAGTATAGATAGAATGTGATAGAATATGAGAGTGTCATCAAATCGGATCACCCCGCCCACACCACAGGATGACCCCCCCACACCACACGGAACATTTCAGCAAGAGGACCAGTGGGCACGGATTGAAGGGGAATTTCTGACAAAAGCATGGCCATGGGCCATGGTTTTCTTATGTGCTATGGTCTTTTAATTGAAGCTACATTCTTGCTGGGAGGGTGCCAACGATGCCAAAGGAAGTCGCTCATGCAGTAGGCAACTGCAGTGTGGCTTCGTGGCTTCTGCTTCATCATCATGCAGCTTTAATCTGCGAGGTGTCACTGTCGTGACATGAAGCAGGTTGAGATGGATGTGTGCTGTGTTTGGACCAGGGTCTGGCTGAGACTCACCCAATCCCTACTCAGTTTGCATCCACGTCAAAGGTTCTTTTTCGTGTTTAGGGACTTCCCCACCCTGGATCCATTTCCGACAACTTTATACCATTCTTGCTTCCATGATATAGTAGTTTTCAAACCCACCACACCACTGCTGGGTCTGTCCCAAGTTGGCTCCTCTTCAGCCCCTAAGGAGCTCCTATCCCTACCGCCCCTTCTTCCAGCCCCCGGCGCCCGCCGTCGACCCGGCGGCCCTGCTGTCCCCCGCGGAGCGGAAGTTCCTCACGCCGCCGGGCACGAAGAAGGGACGTTGGCTGGGACTCGCATGGTTTGGGACTCGCTTTTTAACAAAAGAAGGTGGACCAGATGGGCTTTAACAAACAAAGATGGACCAACATTGAACAAAACAATGAGATCCCGTGAGAGTTGGTTGAAGAACAGTCAATGGCCAAACTGGCATGGACTGTTGCATTGATACATGTGAGTCGCAGGAGTCACCCCATCCTGTGCACACCGCCAGCTCTCAACATGTTGCATTGACCCTCAACTCATCTATACAAAGAAATATATATACTCGTTGGGGGTCCTAGTTTCACTTACTAACACTCCGGCACGCATGGAAGTGAACCCACCCTGTTTGTAGAGGAACATGGTGAAAGAGGAGCCGAAACTTGCCAACGATCCAGCGTAGGGTTGGCAGAATTGGCGATAAGCTTTTCGCTTGCAACAGGATATCAGCTTCCAATTTGGCCAGAATATGACCATGAACATCAAGGTCCCTTTACGTTTGCCCGAAGCTTACTTTACTGGTCAAACCGTGGAAGACCATGTTCCTCTACAACCCAGTGGTTTTGGCACCAGGAACGTGAACATCTTAGGCTGTTTGAAGGTGAGCATGTACCGGAGCTCGTACCTGAAAAACGACCGCCTTTTCCCCCCAGGAGGAGCTTCATCACCGACCCGCTCTCGGAGATTCTGGGCCCCGGCGGGACGGTCGACCCGCGGCAGGGCGGAGCGACGCTCGGCTGCAGCAAGCAGGTGTCGCCTGGTGGCGAGGCGATGGAGTTGGGGAATTTGAGGTCAAGCCCATTCCTGCTGACCTAGGTCAGCACGTGCTCTCGACGTCAAGGTTTCCAATGGTTTACCCAACCACCTGCCTGTCGACGGCAGCCCTGCAGCCTCGTGCCTCGTCAGGAACATGGACCCTCGTCAGCTCTTGACAGATGGGACGATCGAGCACGGATTGCTGCATCTCCACAGCCACATGACGCCCGGAGATGAGAAAGGAGGAGATGTGGAGATAAAGATGGCGCCGGCAGGACCCAATAGATCCGAGTCCAATCCATGACAGTAGATCCGAGTCCAATCCAGGGGTGTGGCGTACCGATTAGCCATAGCTGTCTCAGGGTGACAGGGCCCTTGCAACCGCCTTGCAGCTTCTGACCTGTACAGTAGGAGCTACAGGTTCTTCTTCAAGCCTTGGTATAGATTTGGAGGAGAGGTGTGGTGGATACCGGCCTCAGAACGTCCAGAACCTCAAAACCAGAGCAAATGCTGTGAAACGCTTCCACCACGACGGGCTGGGGTCTGCGTCGCAACGGGGATGTTTGGAGTCTGGTGAGGGATGTGACTGGGGTTGTCGAACGCAAGGCGCGTCATCCACGTGCTAAGGAGCGCCATCCATCTCACCAACAGCTTTGTGCCGGGCTCAGCTGCTTGAAGGTGCAGCCTACAAGAAACGTGGAGAGCCACATTTGGCCATCCGTTACCCATGAAAGTGGGGCAAGGGAGCTGGCTCGAATCCTTTGAATTCTTCCAGCTTTTGGACTTCAATTGGGCTCGGTGGAGAAGAATTCCTCCACCGACTCGGGCTGTTCCTACCACAAATTCTTCCTACCTTGCTACCTTGTGGAGCTGGAACTCTCCACATGCACCGCTCTTGGGTAGGCCGGGTAGGCCCTGAGCCGTCTTTCTGTCTTTCTGTCTGCTGTCGCTCCCCGGGATCGCTCAGAAAAGCTCGGTCCAAGGTCTATCCTTGGAGGTCCAAGGGCTGGCGACATTACTATTTGGCACCTCATTCCCAAAAAAAGAATCAGGGGGCAGTTGGGCAGGTCGGCCAGGGAAGCAGCAAGGAGCACAGACATCCAATGGTTTTTGGGGTCAGACGGTTCGCAAGGATGTGTCTGGAGATGTGTTCATCATGTCCTCGGTCAACAAGTATGTCAACAAAGCCTGCCGCTAGAATTTCCAGGGGGCCAAACGTTCGAGCTTCCAAGGAGCCAGCCCTGCTGGGGTGAAACCAACGTCAGAGTTTCCAAGGAGCCAGTCCACGAGGATTTTGTCCACATACTCCATGCACTTCAGTTGATCCGAGATCACACATCACGTGAGGTCCATGGTTTTTCACGCTCCAAGAAAGCAAGCCGATGGGAACCTCATTTGGGCAGCACGTGCATAACATGGTACCTCAGGTGCCAAGGGGGCCTACTCAACGGAGGCTTTTAGAGACACCAGGATTCTCTTGCGTGTAGGTACTTTGGAGAATTGCATTTGGTCCTTTTGGCCCAAAAGAAGCTAGCAGCTAGATTTTTCCAACAAGTGCGGCCAAGTTCAGAGTAGCGGCTTCTTAATTTCTTAGCATGCTCTTCAGGGGGCTTATGGCAAACACAAACCGACATACTACCCCATTGAACGCGCCGATGAACAAATTTGGGAGAGGGAATGCTGGACAATTCGAAGAGACCCTTGCATGGGCGGACGACGGGCGAAATCGGACCATTCACATATGTCGACGACCCCCCCCAATAGATTGAAACGTTCTTTTGCCCCATTCCTCCAAAATGTATTGGACACCGTGCAATCCGGTAGTGTCCAATACATTGGGGATCACTATAGTCTCATCTGAGTAGAGTGTGCAGCGAGCAACTGCTGTATGACGAAGCATCCAGCATCCTCAGGTCTCCTGGTGCCGATGCGACACCGCGTTGGTCTTGCCGGGGGAGCCCAGAGAATGGAAGGATGGCCGTGGCAAAATGTAAACACCAAACAGAAAGACATGACAAGACATGAACAGTCCCTAAAAATTCAAAGTGCCCTCTGAGAAGGTGTTTGGGGTGGGTTTGGAGGGTCCAAGTACCTTTTTGAGGAGGTACTTGGATTTTTTAGGGGAGTACTAATTGAACAAGCACTTTCCGTTGATCTTTTCGTGGTCAACACCATGTCCTTTTCTCACTGGTCAACCCCGAACGCTGCGCCGGGGTGACCGTTGGATGTTCCACGGCCTCGCCCGGGACCGTCGGCCAGGCATCACTTTGGTCCCAAGATCGGTAGCTACTTCGAAGCTTGGTGCTGAAGAGCCGTGGTTCGCACGACGCCGCTACGGCCTGTTGGTAGAGGAACATGACGAAGCCCAGGGCCATTTTCCACTTCCGTGATTGTTTCAGGAAGTGCAATGGTTGATATTTTCAATAGAGTTTCTAAGAGTGTCGAAAGCTCCACCCAAGAACAGAACGACACTCTGGCCAACGAATGCCCATTATATGTGTACCCAAGCATGCGGGTGAGCAGTTCACATGCCCAAAGAGATGTTTTCCACCTGGCTCATCGTGTACACGGATTCTGGACGACGAGTTCAACCTCACAAGTTGCAATCTTTTGAAAGTAGTCCCATGGAGATTTTGTTGGGTATCTCCATGCAGCTGACAGAAACCAACTTATGTTACATGAAAGGCCCCCAGACCTTTCTGAGGACCAACCTGTATCCTTCGGGCGTTCATTCTGGAGATGAAGAACCACTCTGAAAGCATTTCTGCTGTAGAGAAACAGGTGCCTACAAGCAAGCACTATCTTCAGGATATTATATATCTTGTGTCTGGCAGCCAGGCTTTGTGCCATCTGCGATGAATGGCGGCGCAGTCAGGATAGAGCTGCTAGATATGCTAGATGATCGGACTCCCCCATGACCCAGGAGATGGGACTGATGGGAGTCCACCGGATCCACTCACGAAGTACCGGATCCACTGGACTGACTGGTCGAGTTGGTCTATCGACTGATTGGTTGCTCTCCTTTCTTTTTTTTCACCGTTCGGCGGACCTGTGAAACACACGAAAACTGGCCCAAAAAACAGATGAAAACAACAGCTGCTTATAGTACTGTAGTGGGGTTGATGCTTTCACTTTTTTGGGGGGGGTGGTTTCTTGCCAAATTCAAGGCAGTGACCTCGTGTTTCGATCCGAAACGGCCCAAGGACTTCCTTGAGACCTACGTCTCCTTCCTGCTCCTGGCCTCAGTGCTAGGCGCTGAGAGCGGCGGTCGATATCGGGTCGATGTTCCGCGAGGCGAGGATGGGGCCCAGGGAAAGACGCACACCATGGTGCTTTTCGTTCTTTTTTTTTTTGGGGGGGGGATGTGGGACAGAGTTTGGAAAGGGACTTTCCAACTGAAGATGAGGACTTCCTCGCTACAAGCCTCATCGAAAAGCACGTTGAGTTTACGAGCGGGAGTGATGCCCAGCGCTTTGCTAGGCGGATTCCTTCTATACCATCTTCTACCCAACAACTGGTGCAGAGCACCTTCGTGGGCAGTCCAGAGCTTGGACCACTTCGCAACGTCAACCCTTTGGTCTTACCTAGTGTGGGTACTGGGCGGAGAATTTCATCTACGGAGGGATGTCTCACTTTCTGCCACCTTCCCAGCACGCAAGTGCACGACCCATACACATCCGTCAAAAGTGCACCGAAGAGCCTCCAAGCTGCGCGAGGCATTTTCGCAGAGATCAGTGGACCACCAAATGTCCATGCAAATTCAGGCTTTTGGAGACTTGGCTGGCGTAGCTTGTTGCACCTCTCATGTTCAAAGATTCCATAGGGCCACACCCCCGGGATGACAGGCTGAGAAGGGATTGCAAATGATCACAATGATCACACTGGCTCAAGAACTTGACGATTCACCAATCCGCCGTTTTGATCCATTTTGAACTTTCACTACAGTTGGGCGACAGCTCGCTTCAGGAGTCATGACTCGTACACTTGAATTTTGCTGCGGATGGCTCAAATCGGGCTCCACAGCCCTTTGTAACCCAACCCTTCAGGACGCCCCCGAGAAAGTAGAAGTAGTAGTAGTAGTAGTAGTCGTCGTCGTCGTGACCCCCCCTCCTCGAACCCTTCTACCCTTGCCCAGAACTCCTTCTCCTCACCACCCAAACGAATCGCTCGACACGAATCGCTCGACCGAGGAAGTTCGTCCAGCCGATCTTTGGAGTTTGCATGTTGCTTGGCTCCAGTCCGTTGGTCGCTCGGTACGGGCGGGAGAATGAGAGGCTCGATCAGTCAGAAGGGGCACACCCGCTGTGGGAGGGTTTTCTGGAAGCCAGACATTTCTGGAGTTCGAGCTCTGGGATGCTCTAGGGTATTTGGGGTGATTTTGAGGTCAGCTAGTTGAGTGGTGACTATGGTGAGGTGAGACTCTGAAGGTTTTCCTTCATGAAGACCATGTTGACTTGGGTTGATTTTGGAAGAGGTTGGTAAATTTGCTGTGGTTCAGCTTGGGTCCAACTCGCTCTAATGTCATTAGTGGAAGACTCTTTCGAGAGTGAGCGCCATTTGGGTACTCCAGTAGGAAGTCTTTTTGTCCAAAATGCCTTTGAATGCACATGGTATCTTTCGAAACTCTCACATTCCAGAATTCCATCGGGGGGGCCCTCTGATTGGTGCATTGACCTTGGCACCAGGTCCATTTGGGGCACCTTCTTCTGCATCTTCTGGCGCCGACGCTGCGCGTGGCTCTCGCACAGCTGGGGCAATGGCTGGATTGAGGAGACGGATGGATGGAAGTGACCTTCAGAGCTGAACACTCCATGAGTTCATCATCCAAGTGGAGTTCACGGAGTTCACCACAATTGTATAACTTCACCATGAGAAGCCCACAAGGAGTGTTCCGCCTAGTGTAGCAGTGTAGCAGGCGGAAAGACAGAGTCTTGGGATGTCTACACATCATCGACACATCCCAGGCTTTTCCACCTCCAACCAGTTTGCGAACCGACCGGGTCTTCTGGAACCGAGGAGGGCGAAGACCTCCGCGGCCCGGGCGACCACCGGAGCGGTCGCCGCGTGCGGCCGGAGTTCGCGCTGCAGTGGCGCCAGGGTTTCGCCAAGGTGAGGTGAGTGCAAGAGTGCATCCCTACGTGGCATCTAGAGTCTCTACGTTTTGGAATCCTGAGCTTGGAACCGAACTGGTAGATATCGGATAGGATGGGATGGGCGAAAGAGCTGTTCAACCTCTCTAGGTACCAGGTAGGGGTGGGGCTAGGGGGTTTATATAGCAATGTGGAAGGCCTGGGCAGTTGGCTTGCACATGGTTTACGAACGAGATGGGTATCCCCTCCCATCGTAGCAGCCCCTCACCAGTGGCAGACTTTGTCGCCAGACGAGTGATATTCAGATATTCCTCATAATTGTTGCCGGTGTTTGATCACGAACCGACCTGGTTTGACGCTTTGTGAAAGGTCCTCCAGGCGCACAGGTGCGGTAGGCTAAAGTGTAATCATCCATGGAGATATATACCAAGAGGAACACCTGAGATTGCAAGTCATTTTCGGTATTCCACCATTTTCCATCAAAGAAGCCGCACATAGAGGAATCAGTAGAGGAATCATATTTGAATTTGACAGACTTGTTTTACCGCAACTTCCGACCACCACCGCGTTTTAGGCACGCCCCGAACGGCAAGAAGACACGCTCACGAGCCTGGGCGGGAGTTGGCAGCGGGTCCTTGGGAGACGTCGACGTGCCTCTTTAGGCTCATGTTGACTGGTTGCCGGAGGGGTTTCCAATGGTGAAGATGAGAATCCGCCTGTTTCTGGGGAGGGCGTTTTGGGGAGAGAGAGAGAGGGAGAAGACAATTCTGAATGTGTTGCTAGTGTCACATGTGGGTCGGGAATTTGCTTGATTCTTAATCAACCCTCACGGGCCGGCTATCAACGGTTTTGGCAGCCTTCTAAGGAATATTCATCTGGACAGTGGATGTGGATGGAACATGATGGGAACTAGCCTGTTTGTCTCGTAATTAGGTTTGCCGGTTTGCCTCGCTTCTCTTTTCTCTTCTGGAGTTAGCTTGAGTTGGGCTGGTCCTTGGCATGAACAACCAGTTCCCCTTCTTTGAAGCCCGAAGGCCCCCTCGCCCTCTGATTCCAGGGGCCTCCATATCGTATTTCCAGCAAAGCCCCAACGGCCGAAATTATTTCTTCACACATGGTCACGTGGTCCTTCTCACTGCCTTCCACTCTCGGTCATGGTCCTTCCGTCCCCACGAGGATGTTGAAGACCCTCTTGCGCGCTCCCAACTCCGCCCACTTCGACGACAGGCGCGGGCTGCGGCCTCCGCGGTGCTCCGCGGTCGCCGAAGGGCGCAGGGAGGATCATGTGTGAGCACTTGTAGGCATGCAACGGCATGTAGAGGGCCAATTCTGAGGGTCTAAGATAGTCACCCCCAAATCTGTTCAAAAGGGATGGAATTGCTTTTGGACTTCATCTCCATTTGTGAGGCCTTTGCTCCAGAACGGCCTACCTACTCATCACCATCCACCTCTATTCACCTGTTTGAACATTTAAGAGTGAAGGTCCGATAAAGGTATTGGACATCGTTTCTACTATACCTCTTGTTGCCCATGATTGGAAAGACGCCGCTTCTCGGTTTTGCAGCTGCATGCAGCTACTCCGCGTGGGTGAATCGGATGCAGGGCCTTGACCTGCGACATCATGCGCTTCGATGAAGCTTGTGGGAAGCTAAGGGAAGAGAACGCGGTTTTGACCACTGTCTGAAGACCTTTCCCTGCTTTTCTCTACCGGGTGGTTGGTTTGGAGGGTCTGTTGGGTTGTGAAGATGGAATTAGTGCAAATCTTAGGCAGAGGCATCTTTTCAATGGTCGAGATCGGCAGATGGGTCCGAGATACCGACTTCAGCCTGAGGTTACTTGAGCGATTGGGTTCAGCTCCTTGTCAGAAGTCTGGGGCTGGTGATTGGTGTGGGCTGGCTAACATGTCACAAGTTGTAACAAGGGTACTGACACTGACTGGGTCAAGCTGGCAAGACACAAGTTGCACCAAGTTGCACAAATTGTACCAGGGGTGTCCAATGAACTACCCCACACTACCTATAGGCTTCCATTGGGCACCCCTTGGAGGGTCCTGGTAGCAGGGCCGGATGTTGTTTGTTGCGCATCAGGCTCTATCGCTTTCTGGTGTCTTACTTGGCGTCTGGTGCCTTCATCTTATTGGCCTCCGGTGCGACCTACGGGGCCTTAGCAGCCAATAAGCTGCTGGGGCTCAGTGGCACCACGGCGGGCTATGCAGTGACAGGCTTCACCACCAGCGTGCTGGTGCCTTTGTTGAATACGATCCACTACCAGGTTGGCCATGAGGGCGAGGGGTGGGGACACTTCGCCTCGCAGCTCTGAGTCATTGGAGGAGGTTGGAAGGTGTCAATAGGGATGGGGTCCCAGTATAGTCGCTATACAGGTACATGCCATATACTTTTGGCTCAAGTGCCCAACCAGGTAAAAAGGAGCTTTAGCGCGCGAGCTTCATGTTGACCTAAGAGCTAGAACGGGGCCAGGGCACACCTTTCCATCCGTTCGCAGGTTATCAGCCGTATCCAGACTCCTTTGAGCTGGGTACGAGCTGCGGCCTTACACAACACCATCTAAACGCACACGCATCGGATAGATCAGTTACCCTCAGTCACTGAAGATGGACCAATCCGACGCCAGCACTGCATCTTTTGGAGCAGCTGCTGCGGCCGCAGATCGGATGAGTGCATCCCACAACTCTAGCCCAGGTACGATCGAAGCGGAGACTCTGACAGTGGTGAGAGAAGTTGCGACAGGTAGAGCACGAAGTCGTTCCCCGTCAGCGCACTCGACACCACCGTGGGGGACACCGAGATCAGACCGTAGCCCTAGGGAGACAAGGAGGAGGACTAACACCGGAGCTGTGAGAGTGTTAGCATTGCAGGATGGGTCAGCTGTACCAGTGCCGTCGGACAGCGAAGCTGGGGATAGAGCAAGGGCAAGCACTGACAACCTACAACTAGCACGGGCCGATGGAGACCTGAATGCGAAGTGTGCGCAACTACTTGCCGAAGTGCATATGTTGAACCACCAAAACGCATGGATGGTCGAATGTGAGCAGAGACAGAACCAGATTATACAACACGAGACCGAAGTCCACGAAGTAGTGATGGCACACCTCGAAGAATGTTATGTCGAAGGATATGGAAATCAACGAAGAATCACCCAACTTACAGAATCCAGAGACTGTTTGCTCTCAGCAGCACACGATCTGCAATACCAGATGGACACTGATCGTGTGGCAACGCGGGATCGTCTCACCCAGTTAGGGGAGTACGCTGATCGCAACAGCGCAGAGATGGTTAGCCAAGTTGTGAACATCGGCACGGAAGAGATCCAGGCTATATCGGCAGAAAGAGATCGAGCCGTAACCGAGGTCATGACTACAATCGCAGATGCTGAGAACGTCAAGGATCTGTGTAGACAGGAGTTAGTTGGACTACAAAGGCAGAGTACCAGAAACAAACACGAATATGCTGAAGAGATGAAGATGAGGGAAGCAATGTATGCGAGCAAGATCAAATGGTTATCAGAAGAGAATGAGGAGCTCAACGACCGATCTAATACTCAGGACAAGTTCATCTTGAGCATCAGAGAGCAATTGAAGAAGGCGAACGAGGAGTTGACTCAGACGAGGATTCAGGGATCCGATCGACCGTTTCAACCATCCAGCGCCGAACTCAAGAAGGCCGAAGTCAAGGTGAACATGTTGGAAGAGGACATTCTACGTAAAGAGAGGATGCTGAAGCGTCTTCAGGAAGAGTTGATCGAATCAAGCGCAAGTGAGGCACAATTGAAGGTCGCACTGAAGTTGAAACCACCAGACATGGGATCAGAGCCCAGTGTGGAGAATGAGATGATGACCAAGCTTAGAGCGGAACTTGAACGTACTGAAAAGTCATTAAGGTCCGAGGAGAAAGAGGCAATTGAGTACTACGAAGGTATGATGCAGAACCAACAGGACATGATGGAATTCGAAGCGCATGCGTCACGGCTCAGAGATGAGAGGAATAAGTACCGGAAGAGGTACGAGGAGGAGCGCATGAGTGCAGAGAATGCAGCCGCAACCGAACATGGTGCCGCTTCATCCTCCAGCTCAGGTGGCTCCAAGATATCTCGGAAGGAACACGAGAAGATCAACATCCCTGCATGGCCCAAGATACACGACCTGGAGGTTTGGAAATCCCAGGTTGTAGCGGCAGTCGTGACGGCATCGGGCGACGAGAAACAAGAAGACTGGATCCAATGGCTCTCGGATGCCTTCAAATCACCATATGACCCATTCCTACTCGAGACATCAGGCGAAGCAAGATTCGCTAGCATAGATGCTAAGCTAGGTATCACCTTACACACGATCATCCACGCAGCAGGTGAGAGATCTCATGACGTACAACTGAAGGTGAGGCAGATGATGCAGAGACGTGCGAGAGGCACAACTCCTGGAATGGTCAAGGGACGAGAAATGTTAGCGTTGATCGTCGATAGCTTCCGGAGTGCCGACAACGTTGATGTGATGTATGCATCCAAGCACTTATTCGATCTAAAGTTCCCTGGGGATAATCAACTATCCAGATTCCTTGGACAGTGGGATGAGATCATATCAGGTATGGATGCGGATGACATGCTTCCTGACAAAGCACTTCGCAACCTGCTTTGGGATAAGATTAAGGATTCCAAAGTTATGGCGTTAGACTTGTCTGTGTACGACAACATGTTGGATAAGGACCCGGATAAGACCTACCAGAAGTTACGAGAGATCATGACGAAGTGGATACGGAAATCAATCGAGACCACAAACAAGAAAGAAAGGGAAAAAGCTTTTGGGAACCTCGTGAAAGCCACACCAGCGTCGGAGAAGAAGGACCCTAAAGCGAAACCCAAGAATACCAAGGCCGATCCACCGAAACATGACGCCGCTCCAGTACTTCCTCAGGCTAATCCGAAGGACCACAACAAGAAGGACAAGAAGCAGGATCGTGGAAGATCAACCACGAAGAGCCCAAAAGGGGATCGTGGCAGGTCGGCGACTCCAGCAGATACGTCCAAGATAGGATGCGCTTTCCACTTCCATGGGAAAAACGGATGTTCTAGAGGAGACAAATGCAAGTTTAGTCACCAAGAGAAGCACAAAAGTTCTGCTAAGAAACCAGATAGCCTCAAGGGTGACAGATCAAAGAGTCCTGGTGGCAGGAGTAGTAGCCCTAAGTCAATGAAGGATCAAGTCTGTTGGAATTGGCAGAAAGGGTCGTGCAAGTTCGGGGACAAATGTCGACGTCAGCATCACGCTGCTCCGGCTACAAAACAAGAGGTTAAAGGCAAAGCCAAGCCCAAACCGGCTGCGCCAGCCTTCATGCTTTGCGGAGACATCGAGAGTGATGACGAGGACGTACAACCCGCACTTCCCAACGTACAACAAGGTGAGCTGGCGCTTCGCTTTAAAGTCAGATTCGATGACCAGGCGAATGTGACCACGTTCACCTGCGATCCTGGTAACGAGCTGAACATCCGTCCCCTCAGGAAGAAGAAGAATGAGGTGCAGAAGGTGGATACCGAGCTCATTTCGTCGTTGAGAGCCCTCAGAGTGAGCAATATAGCTGCACGAGTAGCACATGCCAAAGGTAAGATGATGGAGCTATTCTATGCTGAACACATTGCCAAGGCATGGATACAAATCGCTCAAGATGAAGGAATCGAGGTGAACGTCGACCTGTCTGATTTCAACACCAGCGAGGTAGTAAGGAAGGATTCTGTCAACTACACGATACCAGGAGACACGATGTTCATGGCTGTGGAGAGGTATGATGGACCACCGATACGCTTTATCATGGACACGGGATGTGGACACGATTTGATCTCAAGAGAGAAAGTCAATGCCATGGGCCTTACCACCAAGGAAGGACCCAAATCCGTGAGCTTCATGACAGCGAATGGTGTAACTAGTACATCAGAGTACCCATGAGGTCCGAGGCACACGTGTTGGAGAACACACCATCAGTCTTTTCCATCGGGAAACGGTGCATGGAACAAGGGTACTCATTCATATGGCCGGCAAATCAATTGCCATACCTCATCGACCAGAACGCGAACAAGATTCCTCTATCGGTGCATGACAACATACCCTACATCAAGGTGAATGATGATGACGGGAGATGTTTACCAAGACCAGACGGCTTGGCTACGATACTTCATCGCATACTGTCAGGTGTGGGGCATGAAGACGAGGCCACAGCAGGTCAGGAGACACAACAAGAGGAACTTCCGCCCAAGAAATCACGGAGACGGAGGAGAAAGAAGAAAGGTAACCAGAGAGATCGGGATGGTGAATCCGATATCAATCCAGCTGTTGCGGGCGTCGAAGGAGAACCAAAGGAACACGGTGATGACAGGTATTCTCCCGAAGAGGAATATGACGGGGAAGACCCGAGATTCGATCGTGATCACGAAGGTCAACCCGAAGAAGCCGGAGACGACGAACATGGAGGTGATGCGGATTCTGAACGAGAGGAGAGTGACATTGGTGAAGATGAAGAGGGACTATTGGAAGTCGATGTGGTTGACGGGGAAGCCAGACTATCAAAACCAGGAGTGCTGAAGAACGAGGCGAAATCCATATTGCACTTGATGACGCACCGATACAAGAACCCATACTGCAAGTCATGTGTGAGAGCAAAGATGAAGCATTACAAGACTAGCAAGGGAGCTTTCAAACGGAAGTTGAAGGCATTCGGTGACCTTATCACTTTCGATCTCATGAACACTCAGAAGATGGCGAGAGATGGGATCATGCCGGATAAGGATGTATTGGTGATTCGAGATCGGTTCACTGGTGTGATATGGGGCTATCCATTGAAAGCAAGCAATAGTGATGAAGTAGTGCAGGCAATGAAGCACTATATCGGTAAGAGAAAGGTCACCAACGCTTACTCGGATGATGCGCCACAATTTGAATCGGCACTCAAGGAACTCCGAATTCCACTAGACCAGTCACTTCCAGGACATCCCCAGAACAATTCACTCGCCGAGAGAAACAATCAATTCATGATGCTTACCACATCGACATGCCTACTAGAAGCCGGACTACCACCATGTTTTTGGCCATTTGCAGTGGAATGCGTAAGCCATTTATTGAACATCGAGAAGCTGAGCGATGGCAGCAGTGCATGGTTGAAGTTGCACAAGAGCGAATTCCCAGGCATGGTGATACCACTTGGGGCGAAGGTGTTCTTCAAACCTAGTGATGCGAGAGAAAGAGACCAAGATCACAAGTTCGACCCCAAGAG